TAGCATTAATTAGGTGAATAAGTTGAAATTTAATAAGTAAAAATTTTAAGAAAAAAAAAAACCTTTATTTTGGATTGTGCTGCACACTTGCTGGGCTATGAGGGATCATTTGGGTAACCAAATATAATGGGCCAAGTTTTAAAATTATATTATATTATAAAATATGATATTATTACCCTAAATTCGGAACAATGGCAGAAGCAATCATATGGCAACTGTAGTCAATGAGTTTTATAAAAGCAAATGATTGAGAAATCCAATTATAAAGCATAATGCAGACCAAAATGATTTCCACCACTCTCGACATTTGATTAAGATTTCCGTTATAATAAACCAGACTGATACCATATTAGATTTTAACGTAAAACAATTGGTATTTGGTGAAATATTCAAAATAATAAATATATTTGAAAAATTAAGATAGATAGTATGAAATTTTCGTAATAGAAACTGATTGATAAATTTGTAGATGAAGAAAAATAAGATCAAAGAAAATAAAAATTAAAAAATAATATTATTTTTTAGAATAAGTACGGACGCATATGAAACTAGAGCGATACTATTAGCAGAAATTTATAACAAAGTTGTTGAAGATGCGCAGACTGGGCGTGAAACATAACAAGGACTGAGACGACAAATTTTAGAAGGCCCATGGTATCAAGTCCATTATTTTCATTCAATAATTAAAAAAGGGTTTGATGATATATTTAATCCCTGAAATTCGAAATAATAATTCTATAGTTTATTGAGTTAAAAAAAAATCAAATAAAATCAAACGTGATTTTAATTCTTAAACACTAAATTTAAAAGACTTCTAATAATAAGTTTTAAAGGATTATAATTTAAAAACTAAAATTATAATTTTTAATTTCAAGGGATTAAAATAATTTTTTTAATTTATTGGACTAAAATTATAACCACTCTATATTTTAGGAACTAAAACATGATGAAGATTTAAAGAGGTTATTAACATGGGAGGTTTAAAAGAAGTTGGTTAATGATTAGGCTACAATCAATTATTTAGATAAGTTTATCCATAAGTGTTTTTAGAAGAGAAAAATAAGAAGAAAAAAGTAAAATAATATTTTTTTATAAATTAAAATTAACTTATGCACAAATACTATGTAAACGATGTTGCTCCATTTTTTCCCCATAAAAATACTATGTATGAAAATGATAAAAGCACCGGTTAATTCAAAACCTTTGATTTCTTGACTAAAAAGTCATGTCATCAACAACAAAGCAATTGATAAAATGTTAGAAAAATTGATTACTTTTAGAATATTATAAATCATCAAACTAAACATATAATACATAGATAACTTAGTTCACGTATTATATCACCTATCCCTATGTGTTTTATTAGTTTTGATTTAAATAAATATATAACTAAGTTTTGATGATATAATGTATTATAAGATAGGTGGAAGAATTAGATGAATCACAAACAAAAAGATTAAGACATATGTGTAAGTTAGTCTAGTAGATGAAGTGCATCACCCCATGTAAATGTACAACTTAAGCATCTACAACTTATATAAGAGTAAACAAAGACGACAAAAGAATAGAATGTACCTAATCTTTACAAACCAACGACCAACCGTATAAGACCCATGACAGAAAAATATCCAAATATCAAGGATGATCCTAATAACTTTTATGAGTCACGTAATCAATAAAAGAAACTCAATATGGAAGCTGACACAGTCATGGAATAATCATTAATCCAAAAAAGCAGAATGCAAACCTTAGAGTATAAAGAAAGATATACCAGAGTCATGTACTCCTATTCACCTAAAAGCATTGCAATATTTATAAAGTTGAACGTAACCTTGGAACTAACCCTTTTTTAGCTACATTAAAAAAAAAAAAAAAAACATTGCATGCCATAACAACATGAGACTAACTATACGTGAAAAATATGCTTCGTATACGAGATTAAGTTTATATTATTGGATATAGTCATTTGTTATATAGTTTAAAGAATATCTCAAAAAAAACTTTTTTGACCGTTATTATTTTCTTGTTGTATTTATATATTTATGTAATGCGTTTATTAAAATTAATTTTGTTTTTTATGTTTTTATTCACTGTTATTATTATATTTTCTTTTAACTTTTTGGATTCTATCATGCAATCCTGCATGAACTCCGTCCATGCATACAACACCCACCTACTTATTATGAAACCTTTTTAGTTTCAATATTGGTATCAGAATGAATATGCTTCTGCCATGCACTCATAAAGCCTTCTTGAATATTTTGATCACATTTTTCTTGATTCTTGAATCCTACCATTATGTCATTATGAATCAAGATACCATGGACCAACCCTAAAATTTGTCAAGCCCTTATTATCTCTATCATAAAGAAAATTCAGGCATGATACTTGTCAATCCTCATGTTAATGGTGAGAATTATCACTCAAGGAGTAGAGTCATGAAAGGAGCACTCCTTTCCAAGAACAAGTGAAAACTTGTTGATGACAACATTATCATATTCCTATGAAGAACGATTCTTTGTATGAAGAATCAACACATTTTGTTTTATGATTGTGCGCTTGATCAATCTGATAGAAATGCCTTGGATTAAAATATCGAGAAGTACTTTGATTAGATATCAAAAAAGATTTTTGATGAGTGAATTCCCTTTGATTGACTTCAATGAAATCTAGAGAATAGTTTTTTATAGAATAATCTTCTTTCATTTTGGTTTCGATGGACTATCAATAGTGTTTTTTATTTTCTCTCAATAGTTCTTCAATTTTGCTTTTATATTTTCTTTAATTTATTATTTCTGCAAAAAAAAAATAATTAAAATATATAATTTAAGCAATAAATTAGATTTACTGATTTTTATTTCCTTTTTACAAAAACTATATTAAATATTAATAATTTATTAAAAAGTATATTAAATATATGTAAAATACTTTAATAAAGTTATTAATAAAATGTGTTCATCGATCAATAGTTTTAACGATTAGAGTGATACTTAATTGGAAAACAAACAGAATGAATGACTAGTTCTAGAGATGTTTTACTCAAGCGTTGATGAGGATGTTTAAATGATGTTATCTTGATGGTCAAGTGATGAGAGATTGTTCAAGAAAGGAAGAGACAATTATTTAAGGTGAATATTGGAAGTATATTACTCAAGCAATATACCTCGTGTAAAATGGATGGAATTTGTGGTGGTGAAAGTATATTACTCAAGCAATATACCCCCACTCAGATGCTCCCAAAATCTTTGTTCTCGCTATTTATATGTTTTCTATTTTAATGAATTCTCACTCAAGTTAACATTTATCGCTAAAGCGAGAGTTTCCTTGCTCGAGCAAAATTAAGCGTAAGAGTCACCCAATTGTAAGTTTTTTCACTCAAGTGAGACATGTCTCACTTGAGCGAAAAGGGTATAGAGAATTTCCTTTAGTTGCAATTATTTTCGCTCAAGCAAGACATGTGTCGCTTGAGCAAAAGTTGCCCTATAATGTTGACCTCTGCTTGATTACCAACTCAAATTTTCTATTCTTTTGATTTTCTTTTCTTAATTGGTTGGTTTCTTTCTAGTTTTTGTACCTACTCCTGCCTAAAAGGTATACACAAATTATTCTAAATTAGGAGAATTCCTAATAAGATAAAAATTAAAGTATAACATGTTATGTGTTTATAAAAAACTCATATTTGCACTAAAATTTGTCACTTAATAGGTATATCAGGATGAGAAATATCGTTAATAATTCTACTTTTTATATATGGTGGTTAGGATGGTGGCGAGATCAAAGTGTATTTGATGTAATATGAGTTATATTGTTATAAATGTTAGTCTTAAAGTTTTGAATATAATCCTAGTCTTCCACAAAATGTCTAGTCATAAGATTTGGTGATGTATGAGAAATGATGAATAATAATTAGATGAGATGTATGAATGCATTATGTGAATTGTTAGTAAGTTATTATGTTGAATACTTAATTTACCCTATTTCTTTAATGTTGAACTTGACTACTATGTTATAGTAAAGGAAGAAGATATTTTTGGATTGTAATAATTATGCAAAGTGTAGTATAATGAAGATGACAATGTCATGTATTATGAGTTCCATAGAAACTATTTTGTAATGAATATATAATATATGTCATGTACAATATTTAGTTTTAATTAATATAAGTTATTTTTAAATACAATGTGATACTAGCTCGATGATTGTTACATAATTTGTCACCCTCCATAAATAATATGATCTTATGATCTCTTATACAAAATGACTTAAAAATTTTATATATACTTGGAGTAACATTTATCTCAAACTTGATCATCGTCTATATGCTTCAATTCTAAATTTAAAGAATATTAATAATTTAGAATTTAAAATATAATGTTGATGATTCGAATAAAAATAAAATAAATAGTAAATAAATAAGATAAATTTTCTAAAAATTTCTCAACATTCATGTTCCATCTTAATCCTTAATTTATTTTTAGGGCTTAGGATTATTGTTAAACATCTAGGACAATAAATTTTAATTTTTTAAAAATGTTAAAAATATTAATTTAATCGTATGTCATGTAAAAAATAATGTACATAGTGATGTTAAGCAGGTAATTATTGTCGAAAACGGGGTGTACGGTTTTTGCTTATGATAAGTCGTCAGATGCACGGTATTTATCATTGAAGAGTATGATACAAACACCAAGTTAGCAAATCCGAATCGTTGAAACGACAAAGCAGAAGTGACTACTCCGCACAAAACTTCCCCCACCTTCTCACTCCAATACATATGGACTAGATTCTCTCTTTTCCCACAGTGAAACCAAATCCACAAGCTCCTTTTCCTCGTTGCTTTCATATTAGAGAGGGTCACACCCACCCTCACTAAAAAACCAGATCAACTCGTTTCATTCGCAACAATCAATCTTTTTCATCCCTCTCTCATCATTTTTCCTCTTCCATTTGAATAAACAAAGCACAGAAAATACACTTCCATCCTCAATTGTTCCTCCAAAATGAGCCAGTGTGTTCCCAGCTGGGACGTCGACGACAACCCACCACCCTCCAGACTCTCTCTTCGATCCAACTCCACTTCCACTGCCCCTGATGTCCCCATGTTAGTTCTCTTCCTCTCTTTTCCTCTCTCACACAAATACTTCATAAATTATAGTATGCTTCAAAACTTCATCACACACACTCAATCCCCTATGATTCAAGCCACTCGCGTTCCTTTCTCTTCACTGCCACATCTTTCAATACACATAAAAGCCTGACATAATATAGGAGTCGAAGTCTATCTTTCCGTACACTCGGAAGTCTAAAGATGAACTCAATCTTTCAATATATTCAGAAGTCTTGCATACTTTAACCATAAAACTCTATCTTCTCGTACATCCAAAGTCGTAAAAGTCTAATACAAATCTATCTTCTCCGTACATTGTCTTGGATAGTTTAGCAGTAAATATCAATCATTGAGTACACCCAGAAGTCTTTCGTAGTTTAGGAGTAGAGAGTTTAAATTTGTTTATAAATTGGAACTCCAAAATAGAAAACAACTCAGGTACAATCACCTCAGCTATATCTCTAACATAGTTGTTAGAGGAACATTTATTTATTTATTAAAATAACTGAAAAAAGAGATTGGCTGTGACAACCTAATATATATTATACTACTTCACAGTTGCTAATGATGTAGTGGTTTGTGTGGCTTGATGAGTTCAGGTTAGACTACGAGGTTGCGGAGCTGACATGGGAAAATGGTCAACTTTCTATGCATGGCTTAGGGCTACCGCGTGTGCCGGTGAAGCCCCCCACAAGCGCCGGGACCAAGTACACATGGGAGAAACCTCGCGCCAGTGGCACCTTGGAATCCATAGTGAACCAAGCCACGAGCTTGCCGCACCGCGGAAAGCCAACGCTGAACGGAGACGGCGGCGTGTATGGGAACTTCGTGGTGCCGTGGTTCGACCCTGACGGGAGTGCCACGGCGGCGAACACGGTGACGATGGACGCATTGGTGCCGTGCACGAAGCGGGAGCAGAGAAAGCAGGGCATGGAGTCGGTTCCCAGCACGTGCATGGTGGGGTGCTCCACACGTGTGGGGTCGTGCTGCGGCAACAAGGGCGCGAAGGGGCAGGAGATGAGTGGGAGGGATCAGAGCGTGAGTGGCAGCGCCACGTTCGGGAGGGATAGCAAGCAGGTGACCCTTGACACGTGCGACAGGGATTTTGGTGTAGCTTTCACTTCCACCTCCATCAACTCCCTCGACAACACCAGCTCCGCTAAGCCCTGCACCAAAACCACCACCGTCGACGACCATGATTCTGTTTCCCACAGTAAACCAGTGGTAACTACCCACCACCTTTTTCTATCTTTCTTTTCATGTGCTATTTTTTTTTTATATGAAAAAAAATGTGATAAAATACCAAAATAAAATCAACCTTATTTAGTTTCTAATGATTTTTCGTAATACTGTACAAACTTTCTATGATTTTTTTTAGTACTGTACAAACTCTCTTAACGTCATTCATAGGAACATTTATATTTGTCAATCTAAACGTTAGGAAGACTTCATTCACATTTATCATATCTTTCTATTTACCTATTTTTACATCATATAATATTTTATATAGATATTGCTTATACTTGGAATTTATTTTCTATATGAGGTATCTTTTAAGATAAGCTTGTATGCATTTTTCTCTATTTATAGACACTCTTGTATCTTTATTTTGTTTTACATTTCCCTTTCATTGACAATATTTCTCTTTGTTTTATAGAAAATACGTAAAATTTTCTCTGGTTGTTTTGTGACCGAAAATTTTCTCTTTGAATTCTATTCCCTTTGTAGTAATATTACGCTCAAAATTCTGAAAATTTCCAACTTAATTATGGTAAAAAGCTTTTTGACCAAGTTATATCTTATCGACCTCTAGTAGTTCTAACAATAAGTTTGTAATGTAATTTTGATGTGTTTGTCTATTTGTAAAGGGTGAAGACGGGGACGAAGAAAAGAAAAAGAGAGGAAACGGAAAATCTTCGGTTTCCACTAAAAGGAGCAGAGCTGCGGCCATACATAACCAATCTGAAAGGGTAAACGTTGAATCAATTTTGCAAGTTGCAATGATGATATTGCAACAACAAAATCAACAATTTGATGTTCATTTGGTTCATTTTCGCATTGGCTTTTCAGAAAAGGAGGGATAAGATAAACCAAAGAATGAAGACATTGCAAAAGTTGGTCCCAAATTCCAGCAAGGTATATAGCATAGTTGCAACTAGTTGGGTGGGGTTTGGTGAGCTAATCATGATATTGTTTATTTATTATTATTATTATTATTATTATTATTATTATTATTATTATTTTCACTATCTTATCATTGAAACCGTGATGTTGTGTATGTGTTATCCGAGCCAATTATTTAGTATCTACTGGTCCCAAATCTGTGAGAGAAACAGTTGCTATATACTGACATAACATCTTTCTTATATTCACTTTCGTAGTCTTCGAGTAGCGGTCCCGTGAGGATTCGATAGCCACTATAAATACCATTTCACATACTGAATCTCCTTCCTCATGTTTTGCTTTCATGTTCTTGGATTCTTCACAGAAATAAAGTTTTTTTTTTTTTTAAAATAAAAAAGACTTGCAGTTAAACTACATTTTAATTTGTAACTTATTTTGGTTTTTATCAGAGGCTTGCCAGATAAAGGGAGTTAACAAGGGCCCTAACCCTCTCGAGATATTTTTCTATAAGTGTATATATATAAACGATTGTTGTTTTGAATATTATTTTTTTATTAGTTAAACTTGATTTTTAGCTTTTAGATCTATTATTTTGACTTTATATATGCATGTACATGTATTTTAATATTTTAAGTTGTTTGTTAGTTTTTTGGCTTTTCGTATTTATGGTACCGTCCTTGTAGATAAGGTATCTACTTTCATACCATTTATTGTATACATTTCATGTAAAATTCAAATATGCAAATTCTCTACATAAAATTCTTCTACCTTTGTCCCCTTACAAATGGTCCACACATTATTGGTAGAATACTATATAATAGAATGAACAACTAAAAGCATATTAGATATTATGTCATGAAATTAATTAGTTTTAAATTTTGTATAACTACTAACTACTTTAAAACATCTTAGAACATAATTAATGTAATATAGAACTGTTACTTTGATAAACAATCCATGAAAGTATAAGGATCGTAATAATTTGTTAAGATACTGACAGGTGGGGATAATTGTGCTCTTGAACTTTTTCCAATCATATATATGGCTGTGAGGAGTGGAATTTTAGGGTAGTATGTGCACTTATAGAGTCCACATAAAGTCCAATTACTTGTTTTCATACTCTGACAGGAGGCTGTTTGGTGAAGAGGCACCCAACTGCTCCCACAGGAAACCCTTTCCAGTGGTAGGCCCTCATGTCAATTATGCAGTAAACACTAAAACAACTAATTCATATTTTTAAAAAATAAAATACACAAAAGTACAAATCAGAGGCAAAGAAAACAAGGAAGAAACCTGCAAGGTTAATTTAATTAACAAAATTAGAAGAATATTAGATTTCATCATATATATATAATTAATTGTTTTTTTTTTCTATGTGGTTTTGCTACATATGGAATTTCATATATGTTGGACGTTAATTATGTGTTATGGTTTTCATATGCATGAATTTTTATTTTTTTTTCTTTAACTTTTTTATGCAGACTGATAAAGCTTCAATGTTGGATGAGGTGATAGAATACTTGAAGCAGTTGCAAGCACAGGTGCAGATGATGAATAGAATCAGCATGTCATCGATGATGCTGCCATTAACCATGCAACAACAGCTTCAAATGTCGATGATGTCTCCAATGGGCATGGGATTAGGGATGGGAATGGGGATGGGGATGGGCATGGGGATGGATATGAACTCCATGAATCGTGCTAACATCCCTGCCATTCCTCCAGTCCTCCACCCTTCTGCCTTCATGCCCATGGCGGCTGCGTCGTGGGATGCCGCTGCTGCCGGAGGCGGTGACCGACTTCAAGGGAATCCGGCCACCGTGATGCCTGATCCTCTGTCCACATTTTTTGGATGCCAATCACAGGTAACGAATATTTATCCAAATACTAGCGAGTGCTCAATTACAGTCATAAGAATTCTCAAATAAACATATTAGATTATATATTATGTTCGTTTTGGTTATTTTTCCTATTACTAGAATAATATATTTTTCTTATTATTAAAATAATATTCTACTTTTAATTTTGTGTTTCATCTTGTGTATTTTTTTGGATCATATTTATTTCGGATAAGATGAGAAGTTCAAAATTTGTTATAATTAATAATGATTGAAAGCAACCTGGTTATGTTGATTTGGCTGGGTACTCAATTTGTGAGACACGAATGATAAGGTTGCAGAAATCAGTCAAATCGAATTCATTGCAGCATTAAAATATTGGGCACTTGTGACAAATAAATTAATTTATTTGTCTAGTTAACCTCATCATTCTCCCAGTTGTAAACTTCCAATGGATCTCACCCTCATTATTAAAGCAGATACATCATTTTCATTGATGGTTGTTTATGGAGTGAAGATTCGATATGGTAATTAGAATACCTCTTGGGCATTTGGAGATTTCTTTTCCTCCACTAGATACATATGGTTATAAATTCTTTGGTTCAAGGTGCTTTAAGTGTCGTTTTTTAATATGTGCTGAAAAGCAATGATGATTTCTTAAATCTATATGATATGATTAATAAAGTTGAGTAAGTATTTGCAGCCCATGACGATGGATGCCTACAGTAGAATTGCTGCCATGTATCAGCAGCTGCACCAACCTCCAGTTTCTGGTTCAAAGAACTGAGCTAGCTGCCGGTACAATTCTTGTTCTGTGATGATGGTGTTGAGCTACAAACAAGAAGTCCATACCTATTCTTTGTTTGAAATATATATGTATATTAGCTCCAAAGCAAGTGAAGAGAAACTATAGCACAATATAATCCTTTCTTATTTGGGGTTAGTTACTAGTTAAGATTAGGTGGCTTTATTGGTTCTTTTACTTCATATGTATGTTCATAGAATTTGCAACTTCCATAACGTGTTTTGCTATTTTATTGAATAACGGATTTCGTCTCATCCAAATCTTATTTTCTCTCTCTACATCAACAAATGTATAGAACAATTTAATTTAATTTAATTTCAAAATTTATCAAGCATATTAATTTGGTCTACGATCATAAATTTTTAAATTAATATAATTATACAAGTGAAAAATGTGTTTTTAGGCTAACATTTTCTTTTCATATTTAGTTATCATCCAACCTAATAAAAACAATATGGTAATATTTTTTAAATTAAAATTAACTTCTTTTTTTTCCATATTGGATCATATAGATCTAACATAAAAATGAAACTTTACATTGAACGTGGTATATGTATAATGTAAATGACACTTTCTACGTTGAACCTCATATGTTCAACATAAATTTTGTTTTTTTTTTATATATATTTTATCTTCTCTAATGATTCATCTATTTTACATGTGCGAGGATTTTTTTTATTTTTTAGTGATTATGAATGTAACAACTATGTGAATGTAACAACTAGTGGGTTATGATATATATATATATATATATATATATATATATAAAATTGTTATAAAATTAATTATAAAACTACTTAAAAATATAAAATTTATAAAAGAAAATTTAAATAATTTTCATAAATCATTTTAAGAATTTCATCACAAACATTATTTAAAGAATAGATATATAAGTGTGGGTGGTGTTAGTGATTGAATAATCTGTTCTAATGCCAAGGTCAAAAAGGAAAAAATAAAATAATGAAGATATAAGTTAGACCAGATGTTTATCCACCCTAAAGTTGCGGAATTTGAGACTGTTACAGCAGAATTTTCTATGTCCATTGCATCAAAGGTGTAACTGTGACCGGTTGAATTGCTGTAGTTTGTGATAAGAAGACCCAATTCCATGTCCAGTGTAAAATAAGGTGTGTTACACATGAGTAACAGTGTTTCTTACGTTAACCATAACCATGGTTGGAAGATGAAGTGTGGAAGACAGTTTCCAAAAAAACATTTATATGTTTATGGTATTGCAGTGAAGAGACACCTAACATGCTTTGTCTGTTAAAGATCAACATATAAATGATTGAACACTCATGTGCATACTTGGATATAGGGTTTGCCACACACATTTGTACTGGTGTTTCCAATAACATCCAAGTTCCCATCCCAATAATTCACATCAACATTTCAAAAAGTCAGAAATAATTATGTAGTGTATAATGAAAGACTAAAGATGTATTTCGATTAATTGTAAAATCACCAACTTTTTTTTTTTTTTCAATCCAAGGGAGTTGGAATCCACTTTTAATAGATGTGAGAAAATTTAGAAATACTTATAGATGTGAGAAAATTTAGAAATACTTATAAATCTAATATCCTATAATTTTATATTAAATGGGATATTATATTTTTTATATGATTAGTTTGTGATGCTATTTTAAATATTTGTTGAATGTTAATCTCATTTCCAAATACCTAAAAGTAAAAAAGAGATATGTTAGAATATAAAATGAATTGAAATCTAACATTATATGTAAATGAAAAGTTAAGAAATATATAAATGAAGAAATTACTCATTTTAAGTTTTATGTTAAATATGATTCATGTTTTATTATCTCATTCATAAATATCTTCATAATTTTGGTATATTAAATATAAGTAAATTGAAATTAAAAGAATTTGTGAAGAAGAATCAAACAAGTTTCGCATTCAAGAGTCACAAGTTACTTTAAAGGGAGATAAAGGTAATTTTCTTATTTAAACTCAAGGAATTTTCAGAAAAAAAAAGTGATATTCAATCTGAATTTTTACCTAGCAAAAAAGGTAAATCGAGGCCTTTCTAAAATGAAAAGATCAGTTGGGTACTACTTGTTCATACTAGTGAATTTGTTAGGGTAAATGTTACTTTAATTTTACCTTCTATATATAATTTTTATTGTAAATTATTTAAAATAAAAGTAAGATTCTTGTTCTGAAAAGGAAAGAGTGATTATCAATACTTTTGATTAAATTTATTAACAACTAATTTTAGCAACCACAAGTTAAGAAAAACATGTTTAATTGGAGGTTGAATTTTAGATAAAGTCTTAAAAAGAAAAGTGTAGGACGAATCTGTATGTTCGTTTTCAATGTCTTCTAATTCTTTCTTTCCCACTCTTTATCCTAAGCTTTCAAAAAAGACCTAAAACACTTTCTCCGACAACTCTTGAGCAAGAAGAAGCGTCAGAATCCTCCATCGATAGCTAGTAGCAAGTTAGGTCCCACACTGCAAGGGGAAAAATGGGCTTGAGCCTATAACGAGTCACGAAACACACATGGAATAAGGGACAACTGAATGAGGCATATGTAATAAGACTTTTGTTGAATTGCTCCCTTCACCAACTTCAAAAAAAAAAAAAAAAAAAAATATGAGCTTCTCAAAATAGAATGTATCAACGACAGCAGTTTTTGGATTGAAAACTTATTATCAAAATAGTTAGTTGACTGTGTGAGTGTTTGGATCGCTTTTGATTTTAAATGGTATCAAAATAGTTTATATATATAGATATTTTTTTAGTATTATCAAATATATTTTTTTTATCATGTATCAAAGTTTGTAATATAACGTATACTTGTACACTTTAAAGTTTATTGAGCTTTTCAATGTGATATTTTTATTATAGAAAATGTTTTGCATATATATTATATCATAGAACCTTTCATTTCATATTTGTGACTTGACTATTTTTGTTTAAGTGTGATAAGGTGAAAATAATGCGTGAGTAGATATGAAAAGAAAAATAAAAGAGTAAATGAGAAAATAAATAGAGAAATTAGGAAAGTAACTAAGTTAGATATAGATTATGTTGCTTCGAAGATAAACCGAGAATGTGCTACCGAAAAAAAGAAAGTAGGCTATGGAAGAAGCACATTATTACCATTAGGAAATACGATGTCATTGTTAATCTTGTACAGAAGAATGAAAATTTAGAAGTTTTGTGTTAGATTAAAACTCATGTGTCGATTATATCCGCTATTACTCATTGTGATTTTTTGGTCATAAATAGTCATTGTCAAACTATAATATATTTATCGTGTTGAAGTAGTATAAACAATGTCGGATATTGTTATCAACAAATTTGTTGTTAGATAATTCATTCTTGTAAATGATCTTACAAAACTATTTTGGTACACATGATACAAAATTGTAGGCATGTCAAGTACCTATATATAGTGATGACCTGGGAGACTTCACATAGAATGTATGAGTCAGTGACAATGGTAAACATTTTCTTCGGCAACGGTTTTTTCCAGGCAAGATACAAGAGGGGACGAGCATGTCTCATCACTTAGACAAGATAGAGAATATTCTTCAAGAATTTTTAGCAGTGAGAGTCAAAATGACTGATCGTGATTAGTGATCGGGAAGTCTGCTGAAGTCGTTTAAGTCTTTGACAACCACTCTCTCCCGTGAAACTCCTCCTTTAACTATGATTGATCCATGTCATGATCCACACACAAGTATGTGACCCATTAACGAAACTATTGCGTAGTGTGATGAACAAAATCTTGTCGTTTAGATGTCATCAAAAAATTTGCAAGAAAAATAAAACAGTGTTATGACTGACTTAGGTTGTGTCATCGAGGATAATTGGTCAATTTTGTATAAATCTTGATTTTTAAATGTCTATAAGTGTTAGAAATAAGGGGGATTTTTTAGATTTTAGTGCAAGTAAAATAAATGAAAAATAGTAAACTATGAAATTAGATTAAAACAGTAAACTAATATACTAAAAATAGTAAATAAAAGCATGTAAATGAAAGTATTAAATCTAAACTATGAAAGCAATCAAGGAAAGTTGTAAATGCATTGGAAAGTATATGAAAACATGTAAAACTAATCTATCAAAAGCTATAATGGAAAGTAATAAAAAATTACCTTAGTTGTTAACATTTAAAGAAACATTGTAAACTAAATTGCAAGTAAATAATATGATTGAAATAGAAAATTGAAGTGAAATCAATTAAGAACAATGAAGGACTTTAATAGGAAAATTGTTTTAATTCTTCAATCATAAACTTGTTCTTATGATTATCATTGATTTCTAGAATTTGTCTTATAATCAACAAAACAAATCCATAACATTTCCAAACAATTATAATTTAATTAAAATTCGTAAACATAGCTCAATTCCTAAATCAAACAATAATGTAAACCTAGAAAATGAATTATATTGTAAATGAGATATTTAATTAAGTAACCTTAATTACATTGATTGTAATGAATTATAATCAGTTAGAATCGTGAAGAATCAAATTTAAACCATAGAAAATAAGTTTTAATCAATGAATCAATAACAAAAACGAATTATAACATGAATGAGAAGTGGAAAACCATTAAAAACATGAAAATAAATAAGAAATGGTGTGAAAGTGGAAGAAGAATGTGGAAAACAAAAAGGAAAATGAAAATGAAGAAGTAAAGATAAACGAAACAAATATAATAAAAAACAACTTGAATTGATAATCTTCAAAACATTATTTGTATAAGAAACTCCATAAACAAACTTTGAAGTTAAGCATCATAAAGAGAGAAATCAAAAGAGAATATGAGATCTAAAATGTAGGAATAAAAAAAAGAAACTTAACTTCTATCTTTTGGCCTTCTAAAGCCTATTTATATAATAACAATTGTGTACGAAGCAAGCAAGGTCCATGATTACATAATAGAACTCAAATAGTTTTCTGCAAAATTGAGATTCTACAATGAATTAGTTAAGTAGTTCCTTTATTCCTTG